TGATGTACGTATGTTGTTGTTGTTTTTTTTCGGGGGGGGGGGGGTAATGAAAGTGTTCCAAGACGCGACATTAATTTCTTGACGATCTAATATAATAAAAAAGTATAAATTTTATAAAAACAAGTAGGGATTGATATATACGTAACCTAGCTAGTTATAGCAATATAGAAAGCTTTAATGCTACAAAACGTATTGAAACAAGAAAGTCAAAAATACAAAAAACTGAGTTACTTGAAATTTTATAACATTTATCCCTACTTTGACTCAGACTAACATAATTACAGTAATTTGCCAAAGTAGAGATAATTTTTTTAAATTTTAAGTAACTTAGTTTTTGTCTTTAGAAACTTAATTTTTTATCATACTCTAATTAAAATTTGTTTGTCATTTTCATAAAGCACTCAAAATAAATAGTGAATTTGGAAAGATATTAATGAAATAAATTGTTTTGGTTGTTGCTAAGCACAAAGCTACATAATGGGCTATTTGTTCTCTGCGGATCACGGATATCGAAACCTGGTATTTAGCATCGTAAACTTGCAGACCTACAGCTGAACCACTGGGGAGGGGGCGCGATAAAATAAGATCTCACCCAAACTGGTAGGTTTCCACTCCAAGTGGACTTGTATTTAATAATTAATATATTATTTCAGAGGCTATTATGACCTTCTTCTTCAGCCCATATGTGTATAAGACGCTGTTCAGGTTGAAAATTCCAATTACAAACTCCCTCCACCCCCAGTGACACAATGGTATGTCTGCGGACTTACAACGCTAGAAACCGTGTTTTGATACCCATGATGGGCAGAGCACAGATAGCTCATTGTGTAGCTTTGTGCTTAACTTCAAACAAACAAACAAGCTTTTGTTCTTCAGTTTGTAGCAACTTCGATAGCGACTAAAGGTAGTTTATGAATGAATTTACTTCCTAAAGAATTGCCTTAGCCTTACGTTATTTTCCGTCTTCAGTGAAATTACATCGTAATAGGTAAGCTCAGCATTATATTCCGTTACCATATATATATGTATGACAACATCCTTTGCACTTTAGCCCTAGCTCTTTCGAAAGGGGTAATTCCATAAAGACTTGTCTATCTTTCGAAAGCATGTGGGTGATAAGGTTTCTTATTTTTACCTTTCATTTTGTTTTTGAACCTAGGTGCTTTCTTAACACCATGAACATTTTTTTTCAAATCATTAATCCTGAATAAAAGTAACTTTTTACAATTACACGGGTTAAATTATGTGGCTTCTCCAATAAAAAGTTTCATTTGAACAGGGTATAACTAAATATTTAGTGGGTTAAAAGAGTCAAGGTTCTGGTCAGTATATCTCAAAATTAAAAACGACTATTCATTATTATCGCTGGGGCTCTGTTCAGGCTGAAAATACCCATATCTATAAAGCTTTCCAAATATATAATAAATGTTATAGTATTCATTTTATAATATCGTTTATAAGGGATATTTATACAGAGAAAAAAATATTTTGATTAAGACCAAATACAATTTGTCTTCAAGCTTGTTCATCTGTTAAGTTTGAAGATCAAGAGAAGCATTTATGTGTTTATCACTAGACGATTTCGTTCCAGGTTGAAAGCTTTTGTCGGCGTGAAAAATTAAAGAAATTGTTTCTTTTATGGTCGCTTAAGTTATTTCTCACAATCGAATGTTATAACTCAGGAACCATATATCAAAGACTCTAACATTGTTTCAATACCGCGTTAAGGTAATGGTGGGCCCTGGGCAAATTATAAACTAGTGCCCACCACCTCCCTTGCTTATTCTTTCTTTTAAGAAAATACCATGCAATTTGATAAACTAAATTTATTAATGATAAAATATAAGAAAATAAAAAGGGATAATATATTTAAAAACTGGTTTATTATTATTATTATTTTATACACTTCTTCATATTCCATTGCCCCCCCTAGTGGTACAGCGGTATGTCTACGGACTTACAACACTAGAAACCGGGTTTCGATACACGTGGTGGGCAAAGCACAGCTAGCCCATTGTGTAGCTTTGTGCTTAATTTCAAACATATTCTATTAATTATTATACTAGCAACGCGCGGTGGGCCCCTAACGGCAGTGAGCCCTGGGCAATTACCCCTTTTGCCCATTGGATAAAATGGTCCTGCATTGTTTACTTCAATAACAAAAAACTAATTATTTTCTTTGATCCTCATCTTATTCTGCTACAGAAAAAATACAAATTTTATGGTCATTTATTTATTTATCTTCAGGTCGAATTACACCTTCATCTAGACGGAAGCCTTCGAATCACTACGATCTGGGAATTGGCTCAGTAAGTTTAAATTACTTTACTTTTTGGTAAAATATTACATTGCACTTACATGTATTCTCTGATAAAATTGAAAGGAAATGGTGTAAAAAGAAACACGTAAGAGACGATGTATGAAAAATTAATGAAATTGTTTCTTTTATGGTCCCATAAGTTATTTCTCACAATCGAATGCTATAACTCAGGAACCACATATCTTTACTGGGGGGGGGGGGGGCATTTAGAAGTGATAGACTAGAAGGAGAGCAGCTAGTCAACACCATCCATCACCAACTCTTAGACTATTCTTTATCAATGAATAGTGGGATTATAATGCCCCCACAACTGAAAGGCAAACATATTCGGTGATGGGATTCGAACTCGCTACCCGCAAATTACGAGTCGAGAGCCCTAACAGCCAGACTTTAAAAAAAAGGCATTTCAAAAGTAGAGCCGAAAAGGGCACGTGGCTGTGAGTGTAGACTTATATTAACTGAATACTTTACATAGCTTCCTACCTCACACATAATCCTATTTGCACAATAAAAATAGACTGGTCATTTGAGGTATGTCAGTTGATTTCTGGACCATAGAAATGCCGAAATGTAGTCATGGTTAGGTTGGAAGTCTGTGCGTATATGAAATTATCATACTAACTTTCAAAGTTGTATAATAATACACGCCCATATAACCATTCCTTTAGCTGTCATCAGAGTCTAGTAACAGTGAAAATCGAACAAAATCGTTATGTCTCCAACTAGGATAAAAATATGAAAAACAAAAACGTTTTCTATTTTTGTATAAATTATAGGATTTTCTTTTAGTTTTCATAGATTTTATTGTAAGTTTTAAAGATATTATTACATAACGTTATAGAAAAATATCATCATATTTAGTGTCTAGAAAAAAATAAATTATTCGTACTATATTTTTATTCCTATAGAAAGAAGGGCATTGACTTAGGATGCAACACATTGGCAGAATTAGAAAATATTGTAAGAATACGTCGACCTTCAACACTCGCGGAGTTTCTGAAACCATATAAGATTTTTATGCCGATAATCATGTAAGATTTTCTTTTACTTTCTCTCTCTCTCTCTTTTCCTATCTATCTCTCTCTCTAGGAATAATTTTAGATAATTTTTTAAAATTTCAGGGATTATTATCGATTATTTTAATTTTTAAATAAGGTAACAGCGACAAGAGGTTTTAAAAATCTAAAAACATCGCTTAACTTTTATGTCATATTGCTAAGTATAACTTCCTTAATCGCAAAAATATTTGTACTAATTGTTATTTGTTAAAAATTATCGTTACACGTCGATCAGAGATATATAATCAGTTTTCCGACAGATCCTATTATCTATTACATATATATATATATATATATACATAACACACTTTGGTTTAATTTTTCTAGCAGTTTAGTGATTTTAAATAGAATTTCCAACATAGTATGCAGATATATCAGTTATATATTTAAGCTCCACATTGTTTGTTCTGTATTGGAGTTTCTTCTATAAAATCTACTTGGTTCGTGATAATTTTCCTAAAATATCCTGCTCCGAAAATTTATGCAACATTAGGTAAACTTTTCCAGGTTCAAAACGTAAGAAGTACGATGGTTGCCATTATAGTAGTTGCTTATAAAATTTCAGTGTGTTATATTGTGTGACACGTGGGAATCGAAACCAGATTTTTAACGTTGTAAGCTTATATAACTATGGCCGTACCAAAATTTTTTTATCAATTTTGTAACTGTACTGTGCTACTTTAAAACACCTTTTCTTAGATGAGAATCAGAGATTTGTAAAGAAAGTATTGTAAGCATATCTTTATGTGTAGGTGGTTTAGCGTCTTTTTTGGTTTTGCTGTCAGAAATAAATAATGTACTGTAAGCTATATTTTTGATATTTTAATTTCGATGTTTATTTGCTATAGAGAGCCTGTCATTACGTAATAATGACGCAAAATCTAGGAGTTTCCTATAATAAGTAGAAAACTAGAAATCATATCAAAATGTGAGAGTGAGTTAGTCAGTCAGTGAATAAATAATTTAAATAGTTATTCAGTATGCTGTCATCTTATAAAGTTCTTTTTTTTTTCATTTTGCTTTTTAGAGGCGACCCTGAAGCATTAGAGAGAGTGGCCTATGAGCTCTGTGAAGACCAAGCTAAACAAGGTGTGTGTTACTTTGAAGCTCGTTTTTCACCTCATCTGTGTTCCAACACCCATGGTCTTCCTCCAGATCAAGTTGTCTCTCCTGATGACGATAAGGCAGTAACACCAAGGAAGGTTGTAGAAAAGGTCTTGGAAGGATTACGGAGAGGAGAAAAAGACTTCAATATCAAGGCTCGAGTAATTCTGTGTTGCATGGTTGGACAATCCAGTAAGTTAAATTTAACACCTTACTCATATTAATTAGAAAAAAATGAACATTTTGGTATACTGACTATATAACAATATCTCCATAATTTGCTTCGTTGTTCAAATGATATCGGATATTATAACGTGTTAGATATTTATAATTTTTTGAAGGTTGTATCTGCCCGGGCTGTGACACCGCAGGTTCGTGGTTCCCATTGTTGTAAAACTTGCTCTACCCACTTAAGCCGTGAATGCGCCATAAGAGTAGCAGTCAAATCCAACTAGTCGGTCAGACAAGAGTAGACCAATAGTTGGCGTTGGGTGCCATTGACTAGCAGTCGTCCCTCTAGTCTATCAGTTCAAAATTAGGGCGGCTATGCGCAGATAGCCCTTTATGTAGCTGAATCATTCAATTTAGATTCTAGGCCTTTATCCATTTTATTTTGTTTTGTTTTTGGAAACTTCCAGCTGGTTATTACATTTGATTTGTATGCTGATGGTGTAAGTGTGATATAATGCACTTAATATATAATTCTGTGAAAAACCTACTGAACTGAATAATTAATTCAAGAATACAATAACAGTAACTTTTACAGTGAGCAAGTTCTAATTTTAATGATTAAAACGTTTCGACCCACAGTATTAGATCATCATAAGATGAAAGTTACATCCTAATGACTCGCACTATAGGTCAAAACGTTGTAATCATTAAAATCAGAACTTGCCCACTGTAAAAGTTACTGTTATTGTATTTTTTAATTAAAAAATGCGTTGTTGTAGTTTTTCATACATTTACCTAATCTCTTTCTTGAAAGATTTTAAAAAGTTATCAAGCTAGCCAATTCATTAAAACATCCATTGGTTTTCGACTAAAATTAATAAAAAACAAAACATAAAAGCTTAAAGTAAAGACATAATTTCTACAGTTAATATATAAACCTATTGTTTATCCAGAGATTAATTCTCTTTTTATTACTCAATATTCTGCACTACAGCGCTTTCTACAGCACAATTGTAAAGAAGAAAAACAATCCCATAAAAGTGATATTTTGCAATTTCTAATTTTTAAATTATGATGTTTATCAAATATGTAAATAAAAAGTTAATTAAGTAGGGATAAAAGACAAAAAGGACAGTTTTTTTCTTTTTTTTTTGTTGACTATTGAAAATCAATGGCTTTTCTGAAGTGATTTACATTTTCAACATCATTCAAGAAAAATTTTATTTGGTTTGGAATTTCCCGCAAAGCAACTCGGGGGCTATCTGTGTTAGCCGTCCCTAATTTGGAAGCGTTTGAAGTTAAGCACAAAGCTACATAATGAGCTATCTGTGCTCTGCCCACCACTGGTATCGAAACCCGGTTTTTAGCGTTGTAAGTCCGCAAACATACCGCTATGCCACTGGGGGGCATTTAGAAGTGATAGACTAGAAGGAGAGCAGCTAGTTAACACCATCCATCACCAACTCTTAGACTATTCTTTACCAACGAATAGCGGGATTGATCATCACATATAACGCCCCCACAACTGAAAGGGCAAACATATTTGGTGACGGGATTCGAACTCGCGACCCGCAAATTGCGAGTCGAGAGCCCTAACAACCAGACTTTAAAAAAGGCATTTCAAAAGTAGAGCCGAAGTTGGCAGAAAAGGTAAAATTTGTTATCTATGTAAAAGGATTCGAAAGTATTTTCAATTTTTTACCTTTTGAAAACAATACCTAATGTGCTTCATTCTTAATCTCCAGGTTTATGATAATCCCATTTGTATATCTGTCTTTATCATTATAAGGAGTTACACTATTATTATCCTCACGGCTTTAGAAATTTACAAATAGGTATTTCACTGATTTAAATAAATTGCAGGTTGGGATGAAGACGTGCTTGCACTGTGTGTGGAATTCAAGCTCCAGGGAGTGGTTGGCATCGACATCGCTGGGGACGAGGCTGGAGAAGTTGAAACTGACAACGAAGAAAATGTGACAATGAAGACAATCGAAGTATTCCAGGTAAAACATATAGTTTTGTCGATAAATAAGTTCTACATAACATTTAATAATTTTGCGTTAATAAACTTTTATTTTTTCCGAAACATGAATAACAGCAATTTTTAAGACCTAGTTCCAGGACCAGATTAAGAATTTTTGGAGGAATGGGCACGAAAGATCTTGCACCTTTTCACCATAATTATATATATATATTTACAACTGTTATCTAAATATTTAACCTGGAGCGTAGGTTGGCCCTGTGGCAGAGCTCTGGATATCGGAACTGGCGAGTCGAGGTCAAATCCGTGTGATACAACAAAATATTCCCTGCACTCTAAGCTGTGGGTGCGTTATAAAAGTAATAGTCGATGTTTTGTGCGTGGATGGTGGGTGGTAGGGTGCTGCTGAATAAAAGCCCTCCCTTTGGGTACTAATTCAAAACTAGGGCAGGCGGCAGTTAGGCTTAGTTAGTTTGTCATTTACTCCTCTTAGGGTGCTACAATTCATACCATTTCCTTTGCATGGTATATTACTAACTCTTCACACTGATTTATTTATGATCAAACCATTTTTGAAAGAAATTGGTTTATCGTGGTTGTAATAAAATTATTTAAAAAACTTTTAATCCTTAAGAAAATATGCATTTATTTTTTATTATCTACTTTTCAAATTATTATAACAGATTTTTTGGGAAGGTCACTTGGTGTATGACGCTCTATAAGCCCCCGCGTTAACCCTGTCATCCCTAGTTCTGACAGTCGTAGCCTTGTGATACATGTTTGGGTATCGTTATCGCAAAAACACACTCCACACTGTGGAGTCATGAGTGAACTCTAAGAGTGACAATAAATCTCACTATTCGATCAGATAAGAGTAACCAAGTGTTGACGATGAGTACTTTGACTAGCTGCATTTCTTCTAGTCTTTCAGTTCAAAATTAGGGACGGCTATACTAAGATCACCCTTATATTTCTCGGTTCGAAACCCTAAAATATAGTACTATAAAATATAAAACTAGTCCTGGTTAAAAAGTAAAGATTAGTTGATAAACAGTTAAATTGAAAACAAAACCCCAAAAAAAAACAATGTATCGATGCACTAAGTAAATGTGCTGAATTCTTAGGTATAAAAACGTTGTACCTTTTTCTGATTTTTTTGACAAGCTATCCATTAACTCGTTACTAAAGCTGAAGTAGTTTTAAAACATTTTATTTTAGTTGTTTTATGTGATAATAAATTGTAGTTGAGCAATTATCAACATTAATTTTAAATGTAACCACACCATTGTTAGGCCTATGCACTTTATGCCTGAGTTAGTTTTAATATCATCTTACTGTAATTGAGCAATGGCGTGGTTGTCTATATATCTATCTATGTGACCGAAATAATAAATACTATGGTGCCATCTGTTATGCCACAATGCAACAAAATCTTAATGCCAAAAGTGGTGATTGAGGCATATGAACAAAACTCCATAAAAAATTCACACTTTGGATATTCGAGATTCAGACAATTATAAAAATAACTGTGGTATGTGCAAAAACCATGTTTTTATAACAGAACACAATTTGAAATAAAATTACTCTCCTCACAACAAGAACACGCCTTTCACTAGGACTGTACCTGAGGGTTTGATTATATCTTTATCGGTGTAATATTTAAATGTAGTACTAAAAAGCTAGAGTTCTTAAAAACTGTTATTTTTTTCAAAAAAAGAGTACCACTTTTAATATATAAAAAACATTACAGTTTACATCATTAACATTTATGAAAATTTGAGCTTTGTACATTGAATTATTTTGATGCAATAAGTTGAGTATGATTAATGAGTACAATCCGAACACTGATTGCAGTACTTTCCAGAAAAACAAATGTTTTTTTTAGAAAATGTTCACTTTTTTTAAAATAATTTCTTACAATGAGGTATGAATACTACGAGTACTAGCACAAACAGCTGCCGATTGGGCGGCGTTTCTGCTAGTTGACACAAATAACAGAAACTTCTGGAAATTACTACCTGTTTATATATTTTATGAATACCAGCTATTAATTGTATATATATATATATATATATATATATAGAAATATTATAATTGTATTTCTAAGTTAAACTTTCAATAATAAAACATCCATTTCATTGTAATTACTTCTAAAATAAATGTATAACATTAATGACATAGTTGATTATGGGCCTATAGGGATTTCAAAATGAAATTATTCAAACCTAGAGTAATATCTATTTTAATTACATGTAAAAAAGTCACTCTACTAATAAAATCGTTTTCATTAATAATAATAATTCTTCAAGTGAACATAGTATTTTCTTACCATGTATGTTCATAATGTTGTTTTAGCGCTTACACGATGGGATATCTGCGCTGTGTCCATTGAAGGGAAATCGAACCCCGGTTTTTAGCACTGTAGGACTTTAAACTTACCGCTGACTCACTGGCATCTTATTTTTGTACACATCTAATTTTATTTGAACGTTACGAATTTTTCTGCTATTTTAGATTATGATGCTTATAAATTTAATGCACATGTGCATTAGATACTGTGACGTATCTACTTGTTTGTTAATTTCCCGTAGAAATTCTTTCCGAGAAACTTCAGCGATACAAGTTCTTTCTAAATTAAAACTAGTTTATTCTTTCTCGATACAACTTTATAATACACAGAATTTCCACAGTCACTTTAAACTTAACAACCTTATAACACACGCTATAAATCACAATGATTCACACACTTTACTTACGGCTTGACTCGATTATCTCTATCTTCAATCTCTCTATCTATCTGCAGTTATATCTCCGCATTATTTGCCTGGCTTATATACTAAAAAAGAGGGCGCCTAAAACAGACTAGAGTTGCGGGAAAAGTCAAGATCCTTCGAGAATTTCATGACGTGTTACCAGCTTCACGTGACTTCCGCTCTCGTAACAATGCTATTAAATATAGATAATTAGAGAGAGAGGGTACTTAGCCGGGCGTACATTAATGATTAGAGTGTCAGGATGTGGATCAAAAGGACTAGGGTTCGAAACATGATGCTGCTGAATGTGTTACTCACTTTCATCACTTCGTGCATCATGATAGTTGGGGGGGGGGGGCGTTTCTGCTAGTTGACGCAAATGACAGAACTTCTGGAAATAACTACGTATTTAGATTTTTTATGTTGTTGTTGTTTCTTATTAAGCACAAAGTTACATCTTTGCTCTGCCCACCACGGGTATCAAAACCCGGTTTCTAGTGGTATAAGTCTGCTACTTTCAGCAGTTCGTGCATCATAATAGTAACAGCCAATCCTTTTATTCAGTTCGAAGCGGGATAAACCCTTGTGCTTATAATTTATTGTCTTCCAGCTAATCAGTAGTTGAAAACTAAGCTAAAACGCCTACACTTGAATCCTAGGGATATCTGACTTGGCCGCTTGGCCACGTGCGCATAATGTGCCATTCAGTTTGAAAATCCAGTTACTGTTAGACGGAATTCAGTCGATGGACATTATGCTTTGCGAGTAAAAATTGATGTTTTAATTATATTTTTATGGATATGAAGGTTTAGGTAACCACTCATCTATAATAACTAGAACGTTGAGTGATAAAGCTTAAAGCTTAATATATTTATATTTTATGCTTCGTGTTATAATACAAATGCCTTTTTTTCTTCATTTCCCCCTAGTGGCACCGAGGTAATTCTGTAGGCTTATAATGCTTCAAATTGGGTTTTAATACCCGTGGTGGGCAGAGCATAGATAACCCATTATGTATCTTTGTGCTTAACTACAAATAAACACACAGTAAATAATAAACCTTTCAGAATATTGAATGGTAATTTATCCTGGTTAACTAAATAAAATATATAGTAATCCTAAATTTTTAGAAGCATATTCTATTCTTGATCAATACAAAGGATTAGACATCAGAATTGGATGTCTTAAAATTTATAATATTTTTTTTTCTCACTGTCACAATTAAGAAAGCAGAACGTTTAGGAATTCATCGAACTGCACACGCTGGGGAAGCAGGGCCGGCTGCTAATGTGGATCGGGCCATCCGTGAGTTGCGAGTGGAAAGGATAGGACATGGCTACCACTCTACAGATGACGAAGAAATATATAACCAGGTGTTGAATCTTGGCATTCATCTTGAGGCATGTCCATACTCTAGTTATCTGACTGGATCAGTACCACTCACTACCCAGAAACATCCTATCATTAGGTATGTTTAAAAGCACTAATTATTTGTCCAAAAACATTTCATCATTAGGTATGTTTAAAAGCACATTATTTACTTGGAAACATCCTATCATTAGGTATGTTTACAAACAAATTACTATCGCAAAATAACCCATCATTAAAAGCATGTTGAACAATTAACTCTCACTGGCCAGAAGCATCCTGTAGTTAGGCATATTATCAATAGGTTTAACATTCTTTCAGTATTTATATTACTAATATTTTTTATTGGACAGAAATTTCCTGTCATTAAGTATGATAATAATAGATCTCACTGGACATAACCATTTTGTTATTATATATTTTTAGCAAACCTCTCACAGATCAACAATATCCCATCTTTGGATATGTTTAATAATTATTAGTCATGAATATATTATCAATAGATATATTTCCTTGCACATTTTGCGATTTTGAAACATAAACAATGGTTAGTTGTGCTTATAGTAGGTTTTATTTACTAGAAAGGTCAGAGAAGCGTCATTATTGTAAAGGTTCAATAGTGTTTATCATTAAGCATTAACGATATTTTTTAACATATTAGTTACTTAAAACATGCATACATCTAAAAGAAAGGATAATATGTATGTGTGTGTATGTGTGAAAATATGTTTTTATTGTTTTGTGTGAAATTAAATATTTTTTCTATTAACAAATTTTAATTTGAATGTATAGTACTTAATTTATATATATATATAGATGTGATACCCTCAGTCATTATATGCTTGTGAAACGTTATGAGTATGATAAATCTAGTTTGAAATGTTTTTAATCTTTTCAGATATGCAGAGGACAATGCAAATTTCTCTATCAGTAGGGACGGGCCTACTGTAACAGGTACAACCTTGAATGATGAGTATGACCTCTTGAAATGCATGGGACTGAAAGAAGTTCATTTTGCACGAGCCGTGAGTTATCGTAGATTTTAACCCACAACATCATCTATCCTTGAATATCAATATATGGCAAATCATGAACTTAGAAAATAACAGAATTTGAATTTTAAAATAATTACAAAAACTTGAAACGTCTCATTTGAAAATTGTTTTGTGTTTTGTTTATTTACAGAATTTAAACGCTGCACGAGCTTCTTTTCTTCCGGACGAAGAAAAACAGGAGTTGTTGGAACACGTAAAGAATATGCACGGTTTGTCTCTGTAACAAGTCGGATTTTTTCAATTCTATTGCGTTAAGAAGTGAACATCCATTAGTATTCAAGTGACAAAAAACGTGAATGGTTTACTCTGTCACAACTAAAATGGTAATTTTAAAAGAAGAAAAATAGTATTTTATTCAATAAATCGATAACTTAAACCTACGCAAAGTCATCAGTGTGTTTATTCAGTTGAATAATGCGAAGTGAAAATAAGTTTTCATAAGTCTATTGTAGGGTAGAAATATATTCAAATGAGTATCATGTTACTCTTCTGCCTTTGGTGATATAAGGTGGATCCTCAACCAGAAATATTGTATATTAGATGAACGTCAGAAAAAACAAACTAATATAGATTATATTTCAATTTTATTATTTTATTCGGAAACTTCAATGATTCTCCTACATTGTAAAACTTTTCCTTTTAAAATAACAGTATAACCCAAATTAACAATCAAAGTGTTATCTCAACAGTACCCGACTGTACAAAGTACATTTATTTTGTAGAACTGGTGGAGAACAAAATAATATAACTTTAACAGTTTAAACAGCATTAAATTATTAAACAAAACTTTCAAATTGATATTGTGTGTTTCCCGTGAATTGACTAACATAAAACAATATTACAGCTTCTGTTTTTAGATTGTCTATATTTCAGTCATTTTATACTTTCAATTTGCTGAGGCGCTGGTTTACTCTCTCTTCCAAGTGTTTTGCTAGGGAGTTAAATGTGATTTTTTTTTCAACAATTTTATTTCGTAAACTATAATTTAATTGCAAACGTATGGATGACTATATTCAAGCTTGCTGTAAATTAAATCAACAAAATGACATTTAAGAAGTGTAAAGCTTTGAACTTCTGGTTTAAATTTGAGAGACTTATTTCTCGTGTGTGAGGAGAATTAGTGCTATTGAAAAAAAAAAGAAGGATTTTGATATTTTTACTTGGAAAACCCCAAATCCTCTGCTTAATATTCTGCGTTCTATTTACTTGAATTGTAAATTTAAAACAAGAAAATTAGTGTAGCCTTATACAGTAATCTGGTGAGGACTCATGTGAAATATTGTATATAGACGTGTTGGAAAGAGTGCACAGACAGAATACTAGAATGATTCCTGACTTAAGTAATTTTAAACCATGAGGCGAGGTCTGGAATTTTAAAGTTGTTTTCTTTTGAGCACAGGGGACTTGAATCAGGTGTTCTGACATTTAAGGGGATTGGATAATCTTCCTACGGTTGTCTGTTTGTGTGGACTAAGGAAAACGTTGACAATGCAATTCTTAATATTATGGATATAGATTTAAGCTTTGAATCCAATACAAATTGGTTTTGAGAAAGTAATTGTTTCGGTTAGTTTTAACCATCTTGTAGAATGGTTTGCCTGATTATGTGGTGTGTGTTTAGTTAGAAAAATTAAAAAAAAAATTATATATATAAATGTGAACTTATTTAGAAATTATATTTGTTTTATTCTAATTTACTCCTGATTACTAATTTGTATGGATATGGTGACCTCAATTGGCCGAATGTTTTTTTGCGTTTCTTATACATCAGTCAAAGGAAGACAAAAAGTGTCATGATTTATGACCATATACCTTATTTGTTTAATTGTCCATAATGTATACGGCTAATCAAATCGAAATATTTACGATTTACTGACATTAATAATATAATATTCTCTGTTTTCTTCGTCCTAATAAGGGTGTTCGAGAGCAACAATATACCACTGGGAACGAGGATAGAGTTAACGCGGTGGCTATTATCCTTTGAGTTAGCTCTGCTAGTAGTAGTAGTACTCTATTCAAATTTCCGCTACGGCAAATTAAAAATAAATCCTTCAAAATATAAAGAAATACTAAATTAAATCAACAAACACGCCCCTAACCAAATTGTGAAATAACTAATACTTAATATTGAAGTTTAAATCTTTAAGTTGACATGGGTGCGTAGATTAAAAATTATACACGTGTCACTCTCAAGCGCGTCTTGAAATAGTATTTTAAAACAGCTTGTACCAGTACTGCACACATAGGGACACGTTCGGCGATCATATCGACCGCGTTCATTTGACGACCAAACAAACCAACACTTAGCTTTTGACAAGGAATGGTGAAGGTGCTTAAATACCCGTCTGTGTGCTTGCAAATCACTTTGTTATGTTAAATTATTCGAGAAATTTTGTAACTTTAAGTTAACTTTATAGAATTATTATGACAACACAGCACTGAAATTTGAAGCCAATAATTACTTGTTACACTGTATTATCACTAAATAATTATTTATAATTATAGGCCTATTACTATTAGTCTTACACTTACAGTTACATCAGTTGTGGGAAAAGGTTTGGAAAGTATGATAAAGGATGCTTTGCTAAGTCATTTAACAATATTTAGAATTTTATTGGATAGTCAGCATGGTTTAAGTAAGGGAAAATCTTGCTTTACAAATCTTTTGACGTTCTTTGAATAGGTTACTGTTTATGTAAATGGGGTAATGGTGTACATTTGGTGGATCTGAAGTTTCAGAAATTATTTGACAGTCTTAAGGTTAATACACTGTTAAGGTTATTTCCATCCAAATTATGATAATCCACATGCATAATCTTGCATTTATCATAATTAAAACCCATGTGCCATTTATTCACCCATCTCACTAAATGATCTAAAACATTTTGTAAAACAGCAGCATACTATTTACAGCTATCAACACTACATACTGTTACGTCTCCGTTTGTTAATTAATTTTCCGTAACTTCGTTCCGAACGAAACTTTAAGCGACACAAGTCTTTCTTAATAAAACTAGTTTATTATTTCCGAATATAACTCTGCGATACACTTAATCTCAATACTCGCGCTAAAACAACACTGTAACGAACGAACGTTAACTTCAACAATACCGTGTGACTGCAGTTCAATTACTCACTACACACATTACCTCCCCTCTTTTATATACCAGCGTACCCTATTTCTAGTAAG